GTGTGTGTGTGTGTGTGTGTGTGTGTGTGTGCGTGTGTGTGTCAGAGCGGCCACTGCACTATCAGGAGAAAGTGCTGCCCATCTTTCACTCTCTGGGCACCGACAGTCACCTGCTGGTCAAGAAGCACTTCTCCATGGAGGCCATGCTGGTCTATCTGGGTAAGAGACTGAGCTTTAGTTTGGACACGTGTGTGGATAAATACAATTTTTTTCATGTTGCTAAATGTAAGCGGGTTAATCTATAACAGTGCTTCTCAACCATTTGACTCCAAGACCCACCATTGCCTACAACAATATTCAAAGACTAATATCTGCTGCAATGGCAATTTTTTAGTAGTTTTTGATCTATAGACTGATAGTTTCTGTGCATTTTAAATTTCTGCAGGGGTTTTAAGAGCTAAATGTTTTCCAGGGTTCCTGCACTATTAAGCCAGTCAATTTGTAAGACTTTTCTAATTATTCGTGATTTACTGGGTTAAGGATCAGGATTTAAAAAAATATTCATTACCTACAATTTCTGCCTGATAGGATATTTTAGAGCTTGGCATAACTACAAGAATCTATATTCGTTATAAAAATGACCTTGATGTTTGATTAATTTGGGATAGTGTATATGACTTTCTTCTTTCAGATGAATACAGTGTTATATTTAAAAATGTCCTGGCTCTTCCAAGCTTTGTAATGGCAGTGAATGGGTGATGTTCAGAAGTCCAACAGAAGTTCTAGTAATCACTTTATAATAATCTATAGGCCTATATTTAGCTTTTTCAAGGTTGTGGTAATCCTGTTTTTGTCTAAAGCTAAGATGTAGGGGTGTGCGATATTGACAAATAATATCTCGATATTTTCTGGGATTTTATCGATAACGATAATTAGACAATATTTTGCTGATTGTGTTATTGTGCTGATATCTTAAAGACTGCCGTGGACAGCTGACTCCTACATGTTTTTATATTCTTCATATTCTGTGTGGTGGTCAGTTCATACTGATAGAAATGAATCTTTCCCAATAAGTTTAAATTGATTTTATGGCCATTTTTACCTTTATAAGCCATTTTTCTAAAAGTGTGCATTATCTTTTGAGGCAAATTTTTACATTTAACCAGTGAATTAGAATAATAAGACATTTGGGCTGTGACCAAGCAAATTAAATCAGTATCAATAAA